GAGAGTTACCGATGTTCAAAGATTTGGTAAATACTTCCAACAATGGCACAGATAGGGTGTACACACACTTCTTTAAAAATAAGTGGTTCTAGAGAATTGTTAAGAGAAGAGATTGCATCGAATATGTCCTTAATATCAACTGATAAAGCCACATCTAAAACTCCTTCAATACAATAATCATTCCAGTTTAAATTGGAAGAATTGTTAGTGGTGTAAACCAATGAAAAAAATTTTGCGAATAAATTGGAAATTCCTTAGCCTCCAGTCACTGATTCTTTTATACAGGGTGACTGCGAAATATATGCAAATATTTTAACCACGGCATCCCCCACCCTAGTAGAGCCGAAATATCGAAAAAACAAATTAAAAATCGAATGGGGCAAAACCCCCATGAACCACCCTCGATACGAAGGCACTGAGCCACCTTGTAAACAGAGTTGGAAAAACGTTCGAATAAAAACGACTTAAACACTTTCAGTTTCAATTAAAAGTAAAACCGACTTTTTGCTGCTTATCATTCGTTCATTCATTAACTCATTCATCGTTAAAGGTCAGTGTGAAAGTTTTTTGGTAATTTTGATTCTGACGGATGTTTGGTCCTTGTCACAACGATTTTACATTGTTTATTGGAACAGAAATAAGAGCAACTTAGAATGCTACTACCTGTTTAAAAGAAATGTTGAAAATGTTGTCCTTGACTAGCAATGCAGGCGTTTTACCTATCAACAAACCTCTTGCATCGCAAGAGGTTTGTTGATAGGTAAAAAAACACCGGAGTAGCGGCTGCCACTTTCACTTGTTGAAGCTCTACGATAATTTCTGCACACTGTTGATTTCCACAAACGAATTGTTTTATCCAACTAATACACGTTTCTCGAAAACCGTCTCTTGAAATCGTACTTGTTGACGAGTATGTGGAGTTCCATCGGACAAAAAGTGAGTTACACAACGTGGACAATCAGCGGGCTCCAAACCGTGTATTTTGTCAACATGGTATGGATGTGACCGTGTTCTTTTAATGTAGGATGCATTACAAGCGGCGAAAATCCAAATTCTCCTTTCTGCCCGATCACGACCATGATCGTGAGTTTGAGATTGAAGGTACCATGATCTCGGAGATGCTGTACCACCATATCGACACACTCTGCATTGGAAAACTGGACCATACACCGATTTCAACGATCGCTCGATAATGACTGGCCCTTTTCGTGTTTTTCACGTTGCGATTAAAAAAGTGCCTGATAAAGTTGCTTTTTTGGTTCTTAGTCCGAGTCCCCTACCCATTCATTGCAGTAATTATGTAGGTCACGAAACATTACCAGCGGCGCGTATAACAATTTACATTTAATTTCAAATATTTTTTTCTAGACACTGCTACCACTTAGGACCGTGAATTTTTGCCAGTGACATAATCATATTGTGAGCTATTCCCCATTTTTTTTTTGCATGTATTTCGCAGTCAGCCTGTATACGACATCTCGCTTGGAGCATTATTGTTACTGGTCTTCCTCTCACGAATAAATTTCCAAAAAAATTTAGGATTGCTGACAATAGAAGCATTAACCTCGTTTACATAAAGTTTGTAAAGATCTTTAGAGAGTTTCCTACATTTAGATCTTAGACTCTTAAAATACAAATAATCATGTAGGTTTCCATTTTGTTTAAATTTAACATGTGCTCTAATTTTCTTATGATATAGAGTTTTCAATTCTGAGTTGAACCACTTAAGATATCTGGAAAGTTTTGTCCTTATAATTTTTCGTGGAATATAAGTTTCCATACTAACACTCAAAATTTGATAGAAAACTGCTACCATTTCGTTGAATTCAATTGTCCCAGCATATGGAAGCAAAATAATCATTTAGAAGATGATAATTACCATTCACAAAATCGTACACACAAAATTCCATTTCTAAATTTTCAGTTTGTGCAATAGATATTGACCAAGAGTACGAAATGTAGTGCAAACTATCACTAAGTATAGGATCAATGGCAGGAATGATTTCTAAATCAGTAATATAGGTAAAAATTAAGTCAAGAAGAACATTTCGATCGTTAGAAACTGTATTTAGTTGAGCAAAGTTTAGGAAAAAATAAGTATTTAGAACAATGTCATAGCAATCATGATTAGAACAGGCAAACCTGTATCCGATTGTACCCCTTTCTGTCTATTTAACATGAGGGACTTACATTTTGCTTTTTTTTTTACTATACGTAGTCGTCTTTTCAGAACAAGAAACTTAAGACGTGTTTAAAATGTTAAATTCTTGTAAACAAATATAGATCTTGCAATTAAGCCCCGCCCCTCGATCTGACAACGAATGAAAAACTTCATCACAACTGAGAATTGAGATCAGGGCGGATATGGGTGGGGCTCAATCTTTGGCTTTATTTTCTTACTAGCTTTTCGCCCGCGGCTTCGCTCACGTAGACGATTCGTTGTGTGTTGAAGAGCATTATTATCAACCTTCAAGTAAAACATGTGTTGAAGGATATTAATATAATTTTCAGTAAAAATCCACATAAAAAATGTTTGCTCATAAAAACTTTGTCACCCCCTTTCATGTTCTTAAGGGTGGAATCTCGAAACAATCTGAAATACGTCTTTCATTATTTGTGTTGAAGAGTATTAATACCCTGCCAAGTTCCCCGTAAAAATTTAAAGGAGAAATATTTTTCCCATACAAACTTCGCCACCATTTTTCACCCCCTTAGGGGTTGAATCTCGGAAAATGTTCAAATGCGTGTTTCATTACTTGTGTTGAAGAGCATTATTACCAAATTTCACTTAAAAATGTAAATATACAATAGAAATATTTTCTCATATAAACTTAGCCTCCACATTTCACCCCCTTAGGGGTTGAATTTTAGAAAATGCTTAAAGACGGGTTTCATAATTTGTGTTGAAGAGCATTAATGTCAAGTTTCACGTAAAAATTTCAATTTATTGCAGAAATATTGTTCCGATACAAACTTAGCCGCCCAAACTTAGACACCACTTTTCACCCCCTTTGGGGTGGAATCTCCGAAAATGCTTAAATACGTGTTTCGTTATTTGTATTGAAGAGAATTAAAATGTATGTATGTATATGTGTATATATAAAGATTAAGACAAATACACATAGTATTCTTTGTACAACACGATACTCTTAAACATATTTTTTATTTCTCGTAGAGAAATAAAGATTTTGCAGTTATGCTCCGCCTTCTTGGCTCACGACGACACGACGAATAAAAAAAATCATACACTTTGCTTTTTTTCCTTAATATGTGTAGACTTATTTCGACAAGAATAAAAATGAAAGAAACACAAACACGTCATTAATATTCACAACAAAAATAATAGTTTTGAATTTTAATTTAATTACAATATTTTTACACACACACAAATAGAACTAGGTAGAAAATTATTTATAAAAAAAATCACTCTCTTATTCAAAGATGTTACAGATTTTAGACTCTAAATAATACCAAATAAATTGTATTAACCGTTGCCAAAGTTACAAACATTTGAAATAACGTCATCAAAATGTTGGTGGGGATGATTCGCCAAATTTTGTTGGCGTTTAACCATCTACATGATATTTCTAATGTACATATAAAATTTGAGATAGTGTGTCTAATAAAAGTGGGTACAGACGTACTCGTACCCTAGGGTCATGAGTCATGACTCGGTTATTATACTCGCAATAGATCGTGACTGGTTTTTGTATACTTTGAACGCCATTTGAAATTTGCCACGTGTCCTAGACGAATTAATGGCCAAAGTTGGCAAGAAAATTCGATAATGTTGATATAATTGAGTTTCAATGTAAGAGAAGTTTCCTAATTATTTTTAATGATGCGTGCTACATTAACCAAGCATTTTCCTGAGTGTAGTTGTCGAAGTTGCTTTCAGTTTATTTTGGTGAAGAGGATGAAACGTAACGAACCAGCTTTGCGTCATTTCCACTAATATACTAATATTTACAGCCGACGACCACCTGAAATTATGCCATTTCTTTAGCGTTGGCATTTTCCAACTAAAAATTGTTAAATTACTTCTGGGTTTAAGTAAGGTGATTTTAAGTATCTTAATTTTACTACAATCAATATTGTTTCTCAAGAGATTCGAACTTGACTATTTCGTTCAGTATGGACCTATGTACTTTATCTTCGTATATGTAAGTATACTTAATACTTTCGTTATAAATGTGTACTATGTAGTTTCTTTCAGACGTTCGTGTGTATAATAACTCAATCATATGTGACCAGCATCATCACTAGATATCTCCATCATACGAAAATATGGACAATTGAAAACGCACCCAAAGAAATAAGACAACAAGTGAAAAAAATAGGTCTTTATGTCACCCTATATATGATTACAGCTGTTTGTATGGCATTATTGGTAGCAGCTTCATTCGCAGTCTCAACAGAACGCGACAACGAGTTCTTGTATCCTTACAAATTATGTGAAAAATATTTTCCGTGGTTTAAAACTATGTTCATGTTTTTATTTAAATTTGGATTGTTTGTAATGGCATATGCGAGTGCAAGTATCCCGGCATTCGGTATTGTTTATTATTATGCTGAACTTGTGTTGCAAAAATACATGTTGATATATTCCATAGAAAAAATTAACGCCAATTATCAAAAAAGAGATTACATTAGTTTGGACAACAAACAATATCATGTTGCAGTCAGTCAGAAGTTGAAGATTGTGATCAAGAACCACATCATTTTGAACAAGTAAATATATTCAATAGGGAAATATTTTGTAATACCTTGCAAGTTTAGCGCATAAAGCTCTAATTCATCTCGTTCCAGATACGGCCGACAAGCTCTCAAAAAGTGCCAAATGTTTGTTTTTCTTTTTCAAATAAGCGGTATTGTCACAATGGCTAGCGTTGTTGTATTTTATTTTACGGTAGGACGTCCATCTGTGAGTTTGTAATATTCTTTAACGTTTTTTTTCAAGTTTTCGGGTTCTTTGACTGATCAATATCTTCGAATTATAGCTTTAATGCTACTGTCATTTCTAACAGTAATTGGGTTAGCAGTAAGCGGACAGACTATTGAAGATATAGTAAGTAAACTGATTTCTAGATGATGATCATAAAAATCATTTTCAGTCGGAAGAACTTACAGACGCGTTGGTTAAAGTCGAATGGTACCACTGGAACGAAATTAACAAAATGAAATATTTGATTTTTTTGACGAATGCGTCCAAAGTATTAGCCATGAAGTTCTCTGAAAACATTTCGCTTAATCTTCGGTTAGGATTACAGGTGAAAGTCCAAATAATTTAGTTTAGGTGGTGGTAAAATTCGAACGTTGACTTTTTCAGATTGCCAGAGCTTTCTTCACTGCTGTGTCTATTATGTATCGACTCAGGTTGAGTCGTGATGTTTAACAGCTTCAAATTATTGACTATAATCGTATACATCACTTTCTGTAGAACTGAACACACTAGGTGGGTGTTGCATAATTTGTTTAAAAAATGTTGATCAGGACGCTGGAAATGTTTAGATGGATTCAATGGTTTTTGCGTGGGCTAACATTGATTGATCAACTTACTTTATGTGCATATTTTCAGCAATAAGTATAGAAATTGTGTATGAATTTGTTAATTTTGAGCCAAATGTTCATTAAAATGATAATAAAGTAGAAGATTGTATTTTTTTTAAATTCAAGTCCCAATGGGTGCCAAATTCATAAAAAAGTACAGCCCAACAAATACTGCTCTGAGAAATTATAAGATTTGAGTTTGCGGAATTTGACTTTGAGTAAAACAGTGTAGGAGGTACTAGTCACAGTGTACTGGAAAAAAATTGGTCCAAGATTACTTCGACAGAAATTCCCTGCCCATAAAATACAGTTTGTCAAATCCAGCCAGTCAAAATGTATTTGCTCATCCCCCCCTATCTAAAATGTATACAATATGATGAGTCTGTACTTGTGATTTATCATTCCATCCACCATCAAAAATTAAAATAAAATCCACTGTTTTAATAAGCGGAAGTCGAAGCAATAAAAAAGTCTGGGTGACCATCGGTATTGTTTACAGTTTCTCTGTTTGACTCTCACATGTACAATCTCAACAAGTGGTATCGCTTGTTGTCTTAAATTAAGAATTCTCATACATAAATGATTTTGAGTCGCCTCTGCGGCATACGTCAGTAAACTGTTTCGTTATTTTATTGATTATAAATCAATATTCAAGACGACCCAATTCATTTTCCCGAAAATTTGGGAATACAGTACTTTTATTTTTAGTATTACACTACATCTATCCAAACTGATATACGTGTCCTTGCAAAAATGTTGATGACGTCATCACAATTTTTTTTAAATTACCCCGCTACAAAAATGTAATGAGAAAAAAACATAATAGGCATGCAATCGTCATGTTTCCGACAGCGAAGGAAGTACTATCTAAACTCTTTAGAGAAATTTTTTTATGGCAACAGTTATAAGCTAAAATTAAAATAAGTATTTAATATTGGATGGTCCAGACTTTTTTATTGCTCTGACTTTCACTTATTCAATAAAACACTACATTTTGTTTTGATTTTCGATGTATTAATTCACATTTGGTTAATTATAACTTGTCTAGATCTAGGGGAGGCTCAGCATATGAAATATCGGGAAAATATGAAAGTACCAAATTGCCCAATGGACTCCATTAGTGTACGTCCTTAAGTTATCCTCGATAAGAAAAACAACTTGAAAGTGTTTATGTTTATACATCGGAAGAATGTCACCTAGAAATTAGTTTGATTTGAATGAATTCGTCCCCTCAAAACAGAGGAGCAAGACTATTAAGTAGTAAGCTACAATCGACAAAATGTTCTGAAAATCATTATTATAATTATTATTATATGTATAAAGACGTTTGTATTTTCACATTTTCGGGAAAATGGGGTGACTCGTTTTTAATTTGAACAAAAAAAATATCATTTTGGGTAGAATTTATTAGGAAAAATTTTGAGATGACGTCATCGATTTTTTGAGGGGAATAAAGAGATTTATTTTGATTAACAATTTTCCATGCTTACAATGACTTTAAAATATCTGCAAGATTTCAAAGCATTCAGTTTTGCAATTCTTGATTTATTCAATAAAATAAGTTGACTGATTGATTAATTTTTTTGAGTCACCCTAAATAAACAAATCTAAAAAACATACATGCAATGATATACTTATTACAGTTACTGATCATATTTTGCACATATTAGATAGAATTTGTTCGGATCAGCAAAATTTTGAGATGACAACCAATTTTTTGGGGTTGATAGATATAAACAAAAACATTTTGATTAAAAAGTTGTCATGCTTACAATAACTGACAATAACAATTGGTTTTGTGATAACCGCTGTACTAAGTAATAACAATCTGAAGCTCAAGTGTTTATTTACGTTTATATATCGAAAGAATGTCACGTAGACATTAGTTTGATTTGAATGAGTTTGTCTTCTCAAACACATCAGGACTAAAATTATTAATTAAACCACAATCCAACAAAATGTTCTGAATATTATAATACTTATTTTATCATTATTATATAAAGACGTGAGTATTCTTCACATATTCGAGAAAATGGGTTGACTCTTAATTAGACCGATAAAAAATTTGTGATGACTCGATCAACATGGATAATTCTAGTCATAGCATAAAAGAAAAGTAGTCACAGCGTTATACCAATGCAAGAAAAAAAAGAAAGGGCCAACTTCGGCATCGAACTCACAGTCGCCGTTCTCTCTGATACACCCACTGCTCCACGGAGAGAGACAAACCCTCTGGGAATGGAACGTTATTATACCTTGCAAATATTTTTCGTTTAGCGAAAAAAATGAAAGTGGATTCGTAAAAATCTGTACATACTCTTTGGCCCCTTTAGTTAGTTACATTTAGGCCTTCAGGCAAAAATAATGTTCATTCTTGCATGATCAGTGAACACAAAAGATTGGATCTGCGAACTTGAAATTTCTTTGTAGAAATAGTTCTATAGAGCTAGCAGAAGGTTTTTAAATGTCGTTTGTGACAATTTGACATACCATTTGAAATGGGACCTTCAACTAAAGAAGTGATCAAGTAATAAAATAAATGAGTTTTTCGCTACATTTCCTTCTACATAAAAACAACTCCAACTTGATGACTTTTTCAACTGAGCACCCGTTACATGCCACGTGTCCTAAACGAATTAATAGCCACTATTTGGGGGGCTCGATAACACTGTTATATGTAATTGAGTTTCAGTTCCAGGTAAATTTTCTTAATTATCCTTAATGACCTTGTTACAATAACCAAGCGTTTTATTCAGTGTCGTCCTTGAAGTTGCCTTAGAGTGATCTGCGTACGATGGAAGGTAAGTCACCATTTTTTATTATTAGTAGTGAACCAGGCAGTGGCAATAATTAATTATTCAATAATAATTATTCAATATTGTTATCAAAATTCCACTAATTATCGAATTAATTTCCATTTAATTATTTTTTCTTTAAATCGATCATCAGTAGTTAATTTTTTAGATTAATCATTTTCTATAAGCAGCTATTTAAATGCCATTTCATCTACTCTCCCCGGGGTATGTTCCAGTCGTTTATACAATCTAAGTACTTGTTTTTAAGATGGTAAAATCTTGTATCGTAAATTCTTTTTCACAATTACTGTCAATAGATTTGTGAAACACAAATTTTTATTTAGGAAAAGAGGCATAAAATAAGAAAAATCTAGATACGAAAATCGCCTTTATGTATATGTTGCACAGTGAAATTTTCAAAATTTTTATGAAATAAAAATGGAATGTCAGTGCTGATATTGAGTAATAAATAACAATGAACGTCCTTGGCTAATTAGCGATGATCTTCACCATTGTCTGGTTTATTGCTTTTCTTTTATTAATTATACTAATATTTCTAGCCGACGATCACCTGAAATTATGCCATTTCTTTACCGTTGGCATTTTCCAACTTAAAATTCTAAAATTCTTTCTGGGTCTTAATAAGGTAATTTTAAGTAGTTTCGTTCTACTACAATCAATATTGTTTCTTAAGAGATTCGATCTTGATTATTTTATTCAGTATGGACCTTTGTACTTTGTCTCCGTATATGTAAATATATTTCGTTAAAGTTATGTACCTACTATTTAGTTTCTTGTAGTCACTCGTTTGTTTAATAACTCAACCACATATAACCAGCATCGTGATTAGATCTCTCCAAGATACGAAAATTTGGAAAATTGGTAACGCACCTAAAGAAATAAGAAACCAAGTCAAAAAAACTGCTCTTTATGTTACCCTATATATGACTACAGCTGTTTGTATGGGATTATTGTTAGCAGCTTCATTTACAATCTCAACAGATCGTGACAATGAGCTCTTGTATCCTTATAAATTATGTGAAGAATATTTTCCGTGGTTTAAAACTATGTCCATGTTTTTATTTAAACTTGGATTCTTTCTAATGACATATACGGCTGCAAATTCACCGTCATTCGGCATTGTTTATTATTATGCTGAATTTGTTTTGCAAAAACACATGTTGATATATTCCATAGAAAAAATTAACGCTAATTATCAAAAAAGAGTTTACATTAGTTTGAACAACAAACAATATCATGCAGCAGTCACCGAAAAGTTATCGCGCCTTATCGAGAAGCACATTGCCTTAAATAAGTATGTGAAATAATGAAATATCTTACAGCTTTGTTATGACCTTGATGTGACATAATGGCGGATTAAAGTATAATCCTTCTCTTTTCAGATGCAGTCGACAAGCTCTCGAACAAAGCCAAATTTATGTTTTTCTTTTTCAAATATGCGGTATTGGCATAATGGCTAGTGTTGTTGTATTTTATTTTTCGGTATTATGTCCGTCTGAAATGTCCGAATTTTCATTAATGCTTTTTTGAAGTTTTCGGATTCTTTGACGGATCAGTATTTTCGAATTGTAGCTTTAGCGGTACTGTCATTTCTAACATTAATTGGGCTAGCAGTAGGCGGACAGGCTATTGAAAATATTGTAAGTAAACTGATGTTTAGATTATGATAAAAAAAAAATCATTTTCAGCCGGAAGAACTTACAAGCGCGTTGGTTCAAGTCGAATGGTACCACTGGAACGAAATTAACAAAAAGAAATATTTGATGTTTCTGATGAATACGTCCAAAGTATTAGCAATTAAGTACTCTGAAAACATTTCGCTTAATAATCGGTTAGGATTACAGGTGAAATGTTAAAGTAGTCTAGTTTAGGTGGTGGCGAAATTTGAACGTTGAGTTTTTCAGATTGCTAAAACTTTCTTCACTGCCGTGTCCATCATGTATCGACTCAGGTTAAATCGTGATGATTAACGGCTTCGAATTATTATTATTATTATTACATACATAGTGCAGACTGAGACTAATCTATTAGTCCGCAGAGTTAACATAATATAATTGGTCTTTTTAATAATAAAGAAAACAAAATTCAAAATATAAGCCTACATAAAAATACAAATTAAATTTAAAAGAAAAATAACTTCTGAAGCTAATAAGTTTCATAAGTGTAAATTTGCGTGTTGGTCGTATCGGTTCTTA